AAATTGAGGCTTTGGAGAAGTTTAAGTAAGTTGTCCTCCTTCACAAGTTAAGTGGTCATGGATTTAAATATGGGAGGTCTGGCTCCAATATCTGTTCTCTTAACCAGCACAACACAGCCACCTTCTTTGAGAAAAGTGATACATGAGAAGTCATGGAAAGATTGTTTATAGTGAGCCAACAGAGGATACGGCAAATGACAGGGTTTGACATCCAACTCTTCAAGTTGTGTCACTTTAGATGAGTTACAACCTCTCTGATTCTTGGCTTACTGTCTATAAAAACAAGATAAAAACTCCTACCCTGCGAACTTGTGGCAAGACAAAGAGATGATGTATGGAAACCTTGGTAGTAATAGTTCAATAAATTATAGTTATATCAACATTATTATTATCTTTATCACTGTTATTATTATTATTCTTTTGAAGTTTGACATAGAGCTCAAAGACACAAGCCATACAACTTTCCTGGTTGGTTTGTTTGTTTTCAACCTTACAGTTCTAATTAAGGAAGAAAATAAAGTTCTATGTTGTTAGAGGGAAACTGAAACACAACAGTTGATAGTAATGGAGGATATCAGTTGCATCTTTATAACAGCATAACCAGCAGGGGGAAAAAATGTTTTCCATTTAACAGAAAAACAGAATTACACACTTATTCAGAGAAAAAAGGACAAATAAAAAATTACTAATGAAGATCCTTATACTAACCAGAAGGAAATTGAGATGGGTTCTTTGAGTTAATTAATATATTCCAGTAATTTATGCAAGTACCTGGATTTAACCATGATGTGGTTCTGGAGACATTAGCTGGCTTAGCCAAAGGTGCAGAGTTACTGCAAAGCTAGTTGATGACTCAGTAAAACCTAGTACATGTCAACTTCACAAACCTTTAGAATTCTCAGCGTTATAAAGAGTTCTACTCTGGGAGACCAAGAGTATTTTATGTCATCATAAAAATAAGTAGTGCTAACCTAATAATGTTTTTAAAAAATAAGGGTTAAGGGGGCGCCTGAGTGGTTCAGTCAGTTAAGCATCTGACTTTGGCTCAGGTCATGATCTCAGGGTCCTGGGATCAAGCCCCACCTGGAGCCCCGCCTCAAGCTCAAGCCCCGCCTCGGCCCCCACACTCAGCAGGGAGTCTGCTTATCCCTCCCCCTCTCCCTCTGCCCCTCACCCCCTTATCCCTCTCCATCTGCTCCTTCCCCCCACCCCACCCTCACACACCCCACCTCAAGCTGGCTTGTTCTCTCTGTCTCAAATAAGTAAATAAATCTTTGAAAAAATTTTTAAAAATTTAAAAAATAAAAATAAGGGTTAATCTGCACATTGTGAAAGCAAACCAGAAAGAAGTCAATAAAATTGGTCTCAAATTTCTGTTTTTGCTTTTTTTTTTAAGACTTTATTTATTTATTCAATTGACAGAAAGAGAGAGAACACAAGCAGGGGGAGTGGGAGAAGGAGAAACAGGCCTCCCGCCAAGCGGGGAGCCCGATGCGGGGCTTGATCCCAGGACCCCGGAACCATGACCTGAGCCGAAGGCAGCCGCTTAACCAACTGAGCCATCCAGGCACCCCTGTGTTTGCTTTTAAATACTCCTGTTACTGGGTTTCTTACTTTTTCTCCTCCTGATCATAAAATGAACATAAGAGAATAAGAGTTGATAAAGAGAGATAGATGTTGCTGATATAGTTAGTTGGGGTTGTATTCTTTTCTCTTGATTTCACTGGCTTTCCATTGTCTTCTTTGTCTTGTCCAAATAGCTGTAGATACATATTGGATAGTGTATGTAAAGACATATTTGAGGCTGCTTTAGAATAGATGCTGCCGAGAATCTTCTGTTAAACTGGTCTTACAGCGGCTCTGGGGGTTTCTGTATTGTTCTTTGGGGGTCTCTTTATTGCTAAGAAGTATCCTTTTAAGGGCAAGAATTGTGCCTGTTATGGTACATCTCATGTTTGTTGACAATTAATGGGATGGTCACATTACTTCCTTAATGAAATACTGCTTTTCCAATTTTTAGAACTACTGGCTCTCATTATTAGTATGATCTTTATTTTATTATTAAAACTGAGACTGTTTAAGGTTAGGGTCTTCCTACAATGAAAGACTTCAGCCTAAGCATATGCATATCTGTGAAACTGGAATCAGTGAGTTGGAGCAACGTCACTCACTCACTCACTCACGCTGCTAGAACATAGCTCCATAGGAACTTAAAAAATGTATTAGGAAGGAAGTAAAGAAAGGGAGGGAGGGAGAGAGAGAGGGAGGGAGGGAGGAAGGAAGGAAGGAAGGGAGGGAGGAAAGGAGGGAGGGAGGAAAGACTGACGGACAGGTGGGCAATCCTGTTTTTGCCATGCACTTTATAAGAGAGGGGCTGAGTTAATTTTCAATTCAGGGGGTCTTTCTAAAGTATTCCAAAGGTGCTCAGTCATGATGCTTGGATTTCTCAATGCCAAAGAGCCATGGAGAAGGTGGCTGAGTCACTGAAAGAAAGGGAAGGAACATAGAGTTCCACCAACAAAACAGAAGAAATGTCAAAATACAGAAGAGAAGTTCCTGAATGATGGTATTTAGAGGAGAATGGAGGAAGGAAGGGAAGAGGAAAAGCCGGGGAGGAAGGAGGTGGAGAACTGTATGAGTACTTCGTAAATGGTGGTTCATTTAATTCTTCAAAAGAACCCAATGAAGTCAATATTATTCCCACTTCGCAGATGAGAAAATTAAGGTATAGAAATAATAGACAATTTGTCTCAGACTACAGTTTGTTAGTAGAAAAGCTGGGATTTGAACCCAGGGCGATTTTGTCCCAAAGTCCATAACTTTTTCTACCAGGACACCCTGGTTACGTTTGGAAGCTTGAGAAAACTCGTATTTCAAACTGTTCATTTTGCTCCCCCAGGAGTAAGACGGTTCTCAGCAGATGCATACCAGATCAGGTAACTGACAGCTGGTTATTTTAAGTGGATTCTCACATCAGGTCCTTTCTCCTTCCTGGTATGCTGAACTCCAGATACATTCCACACAACCTTTCTGGGTCAATTGGTACAGCTTTTACAAGGTGATCCCATTCCCTTCCCATATTTGTCCCCAAACCTCCCAGGTTACCTAAGGGAATATACTCTTCTATTACTTTTAACTTTTACTACTGCTAAAAGATTTCTACTCCATGCTTGCTGGAATACCTAAAGAATTCAACAGCTGCTTTATGATAATGACAACAAAAGGCCTTGTTCAAAATGTTCAGTTGATACTTATCATTACTTTAGATTCTCATACTATTATATTCTAAACAATTCTGCCTGGTTCTTTAAATCTTATTCCCCTTTCCATAAGCTGTGGTGTGTCTTAACCATTTCTTATCTCACAATTTGTAGTTAGCATAAAGGGAGAATCCTCTTCCTGGCGAAAGAACATCATTTGAGACTTTTTTTTTTAAGATTTTATTTATTTATTTGACAGAGAGAGAGAGATCACAAGTAGGCAGACAGGCAGGCAGAGGGAGAAGCAGGCTCCCTGCTGAGCACAGAGCCCAATGTGGGGCTCGATCCCAGGACCCTGGGATCATGACCTGAGCTGAAGGCAGATGCTTAACCATCTGAACCACCCAGGCGTCCCAGACTTTTTTTTTTTTATATCCTCCTTATCTGTGGTTATATACCATCTTTCCTTCCATCTTTCCTTTCTGATGTTACTTGTGTCTTTGTTCCTTGATTTTTTTTCAATGAATAAGTTTTTTCTTTTATTGATCAATTCTCCTGGATTTTTACTTTTCTCTTTCATTAATTTCTGCTTAATCTTTACTAGTTAATAGAATTCTTTTGCAATTTTTTCTAAGTTTCTTGGTTTGTACATTATTTTGCAATAAATACATTTAAGGTTTATGATTTCTGCTTTTCAATACTCTCCTGATTTTGTTATGCAGGATTTTTTTTCTTCTATTTCTAAAGATTTTGTAATTTCTCATTTGTTCTTCTCTTTAATCTAGATTTAAAGCATTTTTAAATTTCCAGTTGTATATCAATGAGAAGGAATTTTTCTTGTTAAGTTTTTTTGGTTAATTTTATCCTCATTGCGCTTCAGTAGCTGATGTGGTGTGTATGATTTCTGTCTTTTAAAAATGTGATCTTTATTTTATTTTATTTTTTATTTTTTTATTTTTTAAAGATTTTATTTATTTATTTGA